ACCCAGTCACTCCTGCTGTGACAGAAGAGGAGGACACTCATGAGGAAGGTGGTACAGAAGTCTTCCCAGGAGCTGATTTGAGGTGATATTGAAGGATTTCCAGAAATAGACCAGGTGAGATGAAGAAAAGTGATGCTACGAAGAGGGAACAGTAAAGAACAGGTCTGAAAACAGATTCCTGAGGAGATGAGAAGGGAAAGGAGAGATGGTAGAACACACCCATGGCCATTACTCTCCCAAGAACTCGCCGCAGATTAGTCACTTTTCAAACACACTCACACCCATTCACACACACGCTTACACACTGAGACACACATACACACACACTTACACACACACATTCACACAAGGGTAGGTCTAGCTTATCTCAATAGAACTACACCTTCCCTGTCTCCCGTTACCTGTTGTCTCCAGCTCTTTCTTCCAGTGCAGCGAGCATTGATACAATCCCTTGCAGTCTCCCTTTAGTGTTTTTAGGAAGAAGTTATTCAAATTCGTATCATTCTCCCACTTCTTTTTCAGCCGTTCACCTTCGGAATTATCTGCTCTGTACTTTTCTGTCTCCGAATCAAATGTAAGGAGCCTCTCTCCACCCAAGGAAAACTCCAAGGATCCACTGGTTCTTCCATCGGCTTTGCACATGCACGTCATCCTGACCTGCAGGGGGAGAGGAGCTGCCCCACAGTCCCCATGAGAAAGACATTAGCCTCTGGTCTTGACAAATGCTTCACCCACCTGGTGTCCACCTCTTCTGAACACTTTTAACCCTGCCCTGCCCTCCCTTCCCTTTCTGCTGGGCTACGTGGGAAGGCCCAGCATCAAGATTTCTTTTTAAATGAATACAATCCACATAGCTGGCCCCACAATCTTCTCACTTCTGCCCATGTTTTTTCAAACTTACCTCCGTCTGGGTATTTCTCCTGTTTAATGTCAGTAGATAAATGTTTTATTTCGTTTCCCAGGTCGCTCAGGGTACCTAAACCTTTTTCACAGGAATCCATGGCCTTTCCCTCCTCCCTCAGGAGATTCATAGATATAACCTTATTGCTGCCACAGTCATATAAAAGAAACTTCTCTCCATCCACCTGTCCTTGGACCTTGCACCATTGTTGTTCATGAAAAGAAATGGTGAAATCATAGTAAGGATCTGTGAAGGAAAAATGCTGCTGAGGATTGGGGTTGGAAGAAAAAGACCCAAAACACCCACTCCCCCATCTCTGTGACAGCAAGACCATCCCCAGGACGGCTGGGCTGGCAGAGCAGCCCTGACCCTTCACCAGGGGAAGGTTGGTGCCCCTCTTGCTTGAGGAGGACCCCGAGGCATCTGCCTGCCAGGAAACCACACATCTCCAGACACGTCCTCCCTGCTTTTACCAAGAAAATTCTGATCATAACAACATAACCAATAAAGGGACATGCCAGGTGGCTAGGGGTATAGTTCTAGATGCCAGAGGATTGTCAGAAACTAGCTCAGTACCCTCCAGTGACATGGAGAGCATGTAGGGGCTGCTGCTGGGGAAGTTGGGTGTCAGGTGGAGGAATTTGGATTCATTCCCAGTTTGGAGAAGGGAGACTTTACAATTATGGGTCATGGGATTTTACATGGCCCAGGGAGGCAGTGCTAACTTGCTGCTAGGATAGTTCTGGCAAGCTTGGGAGAAGGCATGGCTACAATGCGTGGAACAGAAAAGCCAGAACTTCTGAGGCACATAGGAGAGGGAGGGACCAGATGGCTCAGAGAAGTGACTATGCCAGGGGGAAATAATATGAAAAGGCAGGAGAGTGTCCAATCAACCTGCTCCCTGGGAAAGCCTAAAGCTAAACTCTTGTTTATCAGGGGAAAGAGGAAAGCATGGATGAGAAGAGCACCAGAATTCTCCAAAAGCTCACTGATCACTCTAGCTGAAGGTCAGGAATGTAGATGGAGTTGGTGTTCCCCAAAATGGCTTCCAGTAGTAATGGGGATGGGCCATGTCAACGTAATAAATCACAGGTCTAGGTGCTCTATGTTAGGAGCACCCCAGGGTCATACTTTGGAAAAATGCGCTGCTGTCCCTCCTGCTCCGGGTACAGACTCTATGGCTGGTGTGTCCTCAGGCAACAGGGGTAAAGCGTCACTTGGCGGAGGAAGTGATCAGGCTCACGTCACACATAAAAAGGTACTGGAAGCACTGGTTTTCAGGACCCCCCCCCCCCAGAATTGGGCAATAAACCTGGGTGAGCTGGGGAGGGGAGCAGGGGCTCCCGAGGGAACAGGAGTGGACAGGCTGGTGCAGAGTGGCGGGAGGTAGGACCTGCAGTGCTCGGGCTCAAGAGGAGAAGTGGCCGGTGGTTAGTGTGTCAGAAACTGCTAGCAGAGCGCCCGGAAAGTTCACAGGTGGACAGAGTGCCGTGATGCGGGGCTGGGTGAACGTGCTGTGGGAAGGGGGGCTCCTGTCTGTGGGTCCCGAGTCTGAGAAGCGCCCGGGTCCCGGGACAGGGGTCACAGTTCCCCAGAAGCAGGACCGGGGAGGGCGGGAGAGCGGACTGGGAGCCGCAGCGCCCTTTCCTCCTTCGCTCCCGGCCAGGGGACCGGCATCACCTTCTCTCCTGCCGCCTCTTCCTGTCCCTTCTGCCCGGGAGGCACCCAGCTGCCCGGACGCCGAGGGGGGACTGAGCCCGTGGAGGGGACGGAGGAGGAAGGTTCTGGACCGGCCATGGGCTCTGCCCGCGAGTTTAAAGCCTCTGCTGCCTCCTTCCCCGCTCCCCGCGCCGCCTCTGAGACCCCATAGGAACTCACCTCCGCGCCCGCCGACGCAGGGCGTCTCCCGCGCACAGTCAGGCAGCACCAGGAGCAGCAGGAGGACGAAGCAGAACTTGGAGCCCGGGGTCTTCTCCATGGGGAACAGCTACAGACTGCGCTCCCCTCTGGGCGGACCGGCCACTTATAGGCGGCGGGCGACTTGAAGCGCAGAGGACCGCCCACCCCTTTCCTCCCGCCAATCAGAGCTCCGCACCTTGCCCGCCCCCCTCCTTCCCCAGGATTCTC